ATCGGCGGAAGATTTCTGACGACTCTGGGCTGTCCTGAGTCTCTGCCGGATCAACTCGACCTGATCCGCTGTCTCCTCGATCAACTCGGGACCGAGTACTCGTCGCTCTCCGACGTCGTCCCAATAGAGAGGGGAACGACACTTGCGACCGTAAAGTGCTTCGTAAGGAGCCATCAGAATAGAAGAATGGTAGCTGTTGTTATACGCGAACTCGGCGTACGGCAACAACGACTCCCACTTAGCACCCCTGTGGACAACCAAAGCGCGAAGCATATCCTCAAGCGTCTGAATAGTCTGCTCTGACTGACCGTCTGTCTGCGGATGGTAGGCTGAACTGAACTCGAGCTTCGTGCCCACCGCCTCATGCAAGCTGTGCCAGAATCGACTGACGAATCTGGGATCCCTGTCTGATACAATCGTGACAGGCACTCCGTGGAGTCGAATGATCCCACGGATATATATCTCAGCCAACTTATCCAAAGACATCCTCATCGAAACAGGTAAGAAATGCGCGACCTTAGTCAACCTGTCGACCACGACCCAGATAGCGTCGTGATGTTCAGACGACCTCGGCAATCCCGTAACGAAGTCCATCGTGACTTCCTCCCATTTCCACTTCGGAATCGGAAGTGGCTGTAGGAGGCCAATCAGACTCTGATGCTCGGCTTTAACTTGCTGACAGGTTAAACATCTCTTGACGAACTCGGCGACGTCCTTCTTCATGCCTCGCCACCAGAACGACCCCTTCAGGTCGTAATACATCTTCGTGCTCCCGGGATGAGCTAGGTAGGGTGCGGTGTGGGCCTCTGATAAAATCTCCTTCCGCAACGCCTCACCCTTCGGGACCACGATCCTGCCCCTGAACTCTAAGGCACCATCGGCACCTAGCTGAAAACCCTCGACGCCTCCGGCGCGAACCTTGGCCTCCAGTACACGAACGAACTCGTCAGAAGCCTGTTCCCGCCGGATCCTCTCTCTCAGCGTCGGCTGAAGCTGCATAGCACTAACACTGGCACTGGTGCTCCCCGAAACTGCCATGGGAAGCGCATCAATCGCCTGAAGCTGCATCCGGGCAAACTCCTGGATCAGCGGACTCTGCTGAGTAAGGACGTACGTCAAGTCACCCTTCACCTGCCGACTTAGGGCTTCTGCCACGACGTTCGCCTTTCCCGGATGGTACTGAATAGAGCAGTCATAATCCTTGACGAGCTCTAACCAACGGCGCTGTCTCATGTTGAGCTCTTTCTGAGTAAAGATATACTGCAAGCTCTTATGATCAGTGAAAATCTCACAATGACCGCCGTATAGGTAGTGTCGCCATATCTTGAGAGCATGAACGACTGCTGCTAACTCCAAGTCGTGCGTCGGATAATTCTGCTCATGCGGCTTAAGCTGACGGGAAGCATACGCAACGACCTGGCCATCCTGCATAAGGACACATCCCAAGCCCTGTTTCGAAGCATCACTGAAAATGGTGAAACTCCGAGAAGGATCGGGAATAGTCAACACCGGTGCTGAGGTTAATCTCTTCTTGAGCTCCTGAAAGCTCGACTCACATCGGTCAGTCCACTCGAACTTCACAGACTTCCTAGTAAGCTGGGATAGGGGGAGGGCGATCTTGGAAAAGCCCTCGATGAACCTGCGATAGTATCCAGCTAGACCATGGAAACTGCGAACCTCGGACGGACTCCTCGGTGCTGACCAATTCTGAACAGCTGAAACCTTGGAAGGATCCACCTCGATACCTGCCTGAGTAATCACATGACCCGGAAAGGATACTCGCTGGAGCCAGAACTCGCATTTGGAGAATTTCGCAAACAACTTCTCTCATCTGAGGGTTTCAAGAACCACCCTCAGATGCTCCTCGTGCTCCTCCTGGCTCCTCGAGTAGACAAGGATATCGTCAATAAAGACAATAACAAACTGATCGAGGTAGGAATGGAAGATACGGTTCATGAGGTCCATGAAAACTGCTGGCGCATTGCTGAGACCGAATGGCATGACGACGAACTCGTAATGGCCATAACGAGTCCTGAAAGCGGTCTTAGCGATATCTGACTCCTTGATCTTCAGCTGGTGGTAGCCTGATCGCAAATCGATCTTTGAGAACACACAGGCTCCCCTGAGCTGATCAAATAAGTCGTCAATCCTGGGAAGCGGGTACTTGTTCTTGATCGTCAACCGGTTAAGATCCCGGTAGTCGATACACATGCGCATGGATCCGTCCTTCTTCTTAACAAAGAGAACGGGTGCTCCCCAAGGTGACACACTCGGTCGGATGAAACCGAGTCGTAACAGCACCTGAATCTGCTCCTTAAGCTCCTGTAACTCCTTTGGCGCCATACGATATGGGGCTTTGGATACTAGACCGGCCCCTGGAATAAGGTCTATGGTGAACTCCACCTGCCGATTAGGCGGTCCTCCTGGAAGCTCGTCTGGGAATACGTCCACAAACTCTCGAACGACTGGAACATCGTGAGGTGAACGTGCTTTCTGAAAATCATCAACGAGGCTCACCAGATAACCCTGGTGGTTGCCTCGTCTCAGCAACTTAGTGGCTTTCGCCATCGAAATAACATGAGGCAAGGAACGGTTTCTGGAGCCGAAGAAAGTAATCGACTCATCTCTCCGAAGGTAAAGAATAATCTCCCGGTCGCGACATCTGATATCCGCGTGATAAAAGGATAGCCAATCCATTCCGAGAATAAGGTCGAAGTCCTTCATCTCGAGAACAAACGCGTCGGTAGGCAAAACTCGGCCACCGATGGAAAGGCTAAGATTTGAGGCTTTAGCTGAAGTCACTATCTTTCGTCCCGAGGCCAAACTCACCTCGAGAGGATCGATAGCGGTAGAAGCGCGAACTCCGATGGCGTCAAGACATCGTCGTGAAATGAAAGTGTGTGTCGCCCCAGTATCAAATAAAGCAAACACAAGAACATCATTAAGAATAATCATTCCGGACATGGTACCTGGCTGCTGCTCGGCCTCTGCCTGATCAATGGCGTAAACTCTGGCCTGCTGCCTGCCCCTCTGCTGCTGCTGCTGAGGCTGCCTCTGTGCCTGCTGACGGGGCTGCTGCTACTGCAGTGGCCGCTGAGGCTGCTGAGGCTGCTGAGCCTTCTTCGGACAACGGTTCGCGAAGTGTCCGGGCTCATGACAGTAGTAGCACACATCCTGACCGAGGTGACACTCGCCTCGGTGATGTCGTCCACATGTCGGGCACTGTGGAATCTGCTGACGCCTCTGCCGGGCCCTCTTATCTGCCTGGGCACCCTTATCCTTCCTCTTGTTGTTCTTGGGCGGCTGGGTAGATGGTAGAGCTGGCACCGGAGGAACTGAAGACGACTGACCACGAACGGCCTCCCTCCTAATGCTAGCATCCACCTCCTGAGCAATGGAGACTGCACGTGCATACGTCTGCGTCCCGTGGCCCAAGATGTTATGACGGACTGCTGGGTAAAGCCCATCAATGAAACGCTGCTCTCGCTGGGCCTCCGTGCGGACTAGATCAGGAACGAAAGTTGCAAGTCTCGTGAACTCCCTCTCGTACTCGTCGACAGTACGAGTACCCTGCCGGAGCGATAGAAACTAACGCTCCATCTCTGCTCGGTAGTATGAGGGATAGTACTTCTCACGGATTAACTCCTTGAGCATCTCCCACGTACATCCCGCCTTCTCACCGGGACGCATGCCCCAGTAAGCGTTCCACCAGAGTCTGGCATCTCCGGTGAATTGAAGCTGTGCGCAAACCACGCGGTATCTCTCAGGGCACTCCATGACCTCGAAGATAAACTCCAGGCCCTGAATCCACTCATCCACTACGCGTGGATCTCCCTGCCCTGAGAACTTCTCGGCATGATAGTCGCGGAACTGGGCGACCACTGTAGCCTGAGAAGGAACTGGATGATCGGGTTCCCTACGTGGCGGCATCTGAACATTGAAAGAGTTCAAAATTATTGAACACATGATGATATTCTGACTGACTTTTAATGCACGCAAATTTCTTCATGAGTCGCCAAAAATGGCGGATATTTTACTGACATGAATCCTGAGGAACTCTAGAGTCATATCTGAACGCTCTGAATTCTAGAGTTATATCTGAACTCTAAGGTCTGAATCTGGTTCGAGCATCTTAACTAAGTCTGATTACTGATTTCTGAGCATAGACAAAGTAATATGTTTATAACTGAAAAACTGAATCAGCACTTACCTGGAGTCGGCGAGGCGTGAGCGTGACGGTTCAGGTTTTTCTGAAACTTTTTGAAAATTTTTGACTGAAAAACTTTTCAGAGACGCAGAAACGTGCGCTCTGATACCAGTCTGTAACACCCCGACTGACTACTAATTACATCAGAGTACGCGAATTTTTCGCAAACAACTGAAATTTTCCGAATAAAACATTTATTTTGCGAAAACTGATTCGGGATGCTACCGTGAAAACATGATTTTTCTAAAATACCGATAAAGTTGTAAACTGATACATGAAATCGGTTTTAAAGTCTTATCCGACTGACGCCGAAACAAATTCTGACAAAAGTTCTGAAAGTTTAGCGGAAACAAGCGTGGCAAAATACAAGTACATAAATCACAAATATCCTGAACAGCTCGCCCGCTCACTCCTCATCCCCGACCCTGCGTCCTGAAAAACATGAAAGATGTGGGGCGTGAGCACTAAAACACTTGTGCTCCGCAGAAACTCATGCTAATGTAAAACATTATAAATAATAACAATATCATGAACTAAGCATATACAACTGAACTGAAACATGAAGCCTGAAACATGAAACATGATACCGGTCTGACCTCGCGACATAAGCCACGTAACTGATAACTGAATCTCGCGACATAAGTCGCGTAACTGAAACATGAACATCTGCCGGCAAAATAATACCGGTTACCATGTGCACACTCTAG